GTATATAACAATAATTAAATATTTACTTTAACCCCGGAATAAAATATATTCCGTGAAATTTAATATTCACAGTAGACGCTAACGGTCTTATTTTCTTATAAATACGGAAGATAATAAAATACATACAATGTCCTTTTTTTTTTTTAATTATAACGGACAGAATAATATTTGGTGTCAGTATTTATAACAAAAAACAGTAAACAAAATATGCACAAGATTGAGTAAGTGTAATATCTGATTTGATTACGTTAAAAGTTCATGTGCGTATGATACAAAAAATCAATGCGTCATAGCAGCATTTCTAAGTTATTATCTCAGCATATTTTGAATATAAATAATTCGAAATGATTAAAAAATATGTTTACATCATTCTAACTTGAATATTTTTATTCAGAAAAAGATTATAAGTGGGAATTTGTATTTTAACATGTCATTTATTTTACATTAATACTTGTTATTGATTTAGGATTGTATTTTATTTCATCATATAAAACATTTTATTTTCATATTATTACACTGTCATGACCCTGCAATATGTCATAAAACTTAAGAATATCGTACTTTTAGCACCATTAAGTACTTCACTTAGTGTTAATTATATCGCAATATCTACCGTGTTTATTATATTGTGTCATTGTTTACATTAGTTGACGTCACTTATCGTAAACAAAATTTATTGCACTTATTAAAATACATCTAAGAAATATACATGAAACCATAGATATGTATTTATACATATGTATAATATTTGTATCAGATATTGTGAATGTTCATTGCGGAAGCAATTTAAAATAAACCTTATGTGTTGCTAATATCTTCTTTGGCTTACAGGCGAAAGTTTGTGATATAATAGAACGAATGAATGAAACTATTTTTATACGGTAGTTCGATGAGTCTGTTATAAATTTAGCATCATGAATTCACCGTATGATTCCGTTTTTACGTATACTGAATATTCACGAAGCACTGAATTTCATAAAGAAATTTAATCGAACGAAATCAAAATAAGTATAATTATTTCTAATTACTTAATTAACTATTGTTTATTAATATATAACTTCCTATGTAAATTTGTTAACAAATTATTGTCAATATGTATGCAAATATGTTGTCTTAAGCGTTCTCGTACAAATTTTATAGCATTCATATGCAAATAAATAATTTAATTGTATATGTGGATACGTTTTATACTAATGTTTAAAATAATTGAAGCCAGATTAGGTATGTACTCTCCCACGCTTCGTACTACCGTCTTCTTCGTACCTTGAATATATCGCAACACGCAAGTCCGCGAATAACCGATATGTACTCAACCCACAGTGAAAAATATCAACTTGTGGTTTGTCATTGTGGTACACGTTATACGCTGTGCAATTGTATCTTGAGCGTCTGTGCATCATGTCACGGTTACACCGTCGACATGCATAGTCGGATTCAGTGTCTTTCGAAGCTAAGGAAAATCTAGACCGATCACGCACAGTATTACTAAATTTTAATAGTAAGTCATCAAACATACTATCTGAATTATTCTTTGTAAGGTCATGAGACACAACAGTAGTGCTTACTGTTTATCGAACAAACGTCATTGTCTTATCACATTGTAATTATATTGGGGGTTTTGTGATATCGTTGCATGTTTTCCTAGTTGATAAACAGAATATTCCAAATGTAATGATATTCGATTAACATCTAAGATACTAGATTACTTTATAAAAGTTTATAACCATGAAGATTTTATTAGAATAGAGAATTAAATCTTAGATTAGAATGAGAAAGTAGTGCGTGTAATTCTAACACCACCGCAAACAAAAATTTAACGCAAAAATGTATATTTTTCATAAACAATGCACAAATAGTCAAAGAAATAAAAATTATAGAAACAAATAAATAAATGGATATTTTTCATAGACTTTGAAGTGTTTAAAAATTTTGGAATTGAAGTCTATGAAAGGGAGAAAGGAATAAATCTAAAAGTAATCATTCAGCGCAATTATAAAGAGTTGAAGGTTAGAGGATTAAATTAGATTATCTTATGTAAGAACACCCTACCGTTTGATGTTAATTATACTTGTATATAAAATTAATTTTATAAAAATAATTTATGCTACTTCCGTTTACTTAACACTTTGGGTCAACTTTATTATTAAGTATAAATTACATAATGCGAAAAATATAAAATAGTAATTGCCCTTCTCATGGCGATGCCTGCTACGATAGTTGACGAAAATAAAAGTGATCCAGTTGAACAATGCCACCTTTTTTTTGTCTTCCGGGTAAGCTTGTAGGTACCGACAGCACTTGGATAACAATTCACTTCTTCGTGTCTGCACGCATATTTACGAAACCGTATTGGTATCTTCTGTTCATGTTATGAACGCTCGATGATACAACAATATTGTCAAATCACGCAATACAGATCCCGTATAAACACAACTGAAATTCCTCCACTATTGACTTTTGCCGTCTAGAGACAAGCCACATTTGTTACTTCCTTAACGACGCATGAAATTGATACGAGAAAAAAAAAAAAACGTTTCGTTCCTCTCTGACTGACAACCGCCCTTTGCACATAATGCGTTTATCACGGTTAAGAATTTATGTCAACCGAAGTTTCGCACTTCTGAGTTTATTTTGGCATTATTGTAATTTGGCAACTAGACTGGTCATACAAGACTAAAAGAAGAACACAACCTCAAACTAATAAATTCGGAAAAAGATTTTATTGAATATTATAAAATACTGGTGGATATACAAAGATTAATGAAAACATTAAAATTCTCGTTTGCAACTCTGTTTTTTGGCAACCATTAAGTAACTATTTATATTTAAATTCACGTGGTAAGTACACAGTATAATGTATGTATGTAATTATGGATAGATCATAAATTCAATACTTTGTATTAAGAAATAGATTCAACAACGAAAGATAATCGATTACTTTTGATAAGGAATCGATAATTTCTTATTAGGTTAAGTTGGAATCTATTAACAAATTCCATTATGATATGATTGCTATTATACGTAATAATATGCCATCGTGTATGCTATTATCCATTACATGATCACGGGTGTACATATCTCCATGATATAACTTATGAAAAACTTATGAGTTAGCCATTCGATCGATCTACCTTTAAATAAAGCATGAGTATTCCGTAAGACTACGTGTCCTAGACTAAAGGACTCTCAGGTCATATCAGGCTTAAAATTTAAATATTTACTGTTAAAGACTGTCTCATAGGTTCTTCACTTTTATCATGAATAATATACCGTAGATATGCGATTATACTAATTAACGTATATCTGATAGTATATACATATAGTAATTTCTATAATTGAAATCAATTTTAACCTTGTCATACAAAAAAACTCAAAAAAGTAGGTTGTAAACACTGTTAAAATTTAATAAGCATTATAATATTCAAATACAAGCGTTGCTATTCATATTAACGAGATTACGCATTATGAGTATACAACACTTAACAATGTAAGAGCGTTGTGTGATACACACACAAATAGTCATGATGTGTTGCATATTTCATCGATGACATATCATGCATTTCTGTAGCCTTATACTCACGTGTATTTCGCATACAAGCTACGTCTTGAGTAGTTATAAAAAGAGATCTCATAGGCGTATGCAATTAATAGATTATGAAGAAATGAATATTTAAGAAACAATGATTTTTTAAATGAAAAGAAATATTTTCATTGGAATAAGCTGAGTAAGATATAGTTAATCAATTTTTTCAAGTTCAGAAATGAAATACATAAAATGTTATTGATTTAACATAACGATATAATGACGTAATTGTGTAGAACGCAATAACGATCGAAATCAGCAGAACGATACGCGTTTTCGAATAATAAAGTGAATGAAAGTACAACCGCAACAAATTATCCCACCTCGATTGAACGAAACTCTTCCTACGTCTAGAACTGGTAACATCAATGAGGGTAGCCGCATGACGGCGCCACGAGAGCGTCGCGACGCGAACTACGGTCGTCAGGCGGCGCCGGTCGTTCGTCACGAAACGGGGCGGGGTTGCAGGAGAAGTTCTCGCATGAAAGAAAGAAAGAGGCAGCAAATTCGCGCGATGTGAATTCGAGCAAAAGAGAAAGAACCCAAGAGACCGTGAGCAGAAACGGTGCAAGGCGTACGGCGAAACTAGCGCCTCCGTTTGTACGCTCTCTTCGTTACTTTCGTACCTATCGGCTTATGAGAGAGAAACACGGATTCTCGAAGTTAAATGCCAAATCGTGACAACGTATCTCTTCGACCCTTTCGACAATTACTCCCACTTTTCTTTTCTCTTTCTTCGCACACACTCTTATCTTTTTCTCTCTCTCTCTTCTCTTCAAATATACGCCCTTACATCGGTGTTTGTCATTCACGAAAATATACAAAATCCAAACCTGTTACTACCAGTTTTATGTGGTGATTTCACGGTGTAGCAAGAGCCGACCGAACAAGAGGAAGAAGAAAACTTGTGCATGAAACGTCACGAATGCGTATAAACATCATGCGTGCTTTTCTTATGTGTGTACGTGTTACATCGATACGAGGTACAATAGTGTCTCGTCGTAGGTCTTTTTTGATCCTACCAGTGACTAATTGAGCGTGCACATTTAGCAACTTTATGGCTGGACAATGTGTCGACCAGGATAACGACCGTACACGAAAAGAGGAAATTCTCTGATTTCTGCGAGGATTTTCTATCGTTATTTCTCTTCTCGTCCGTCTTATGGGTATGCCTGCCTAATCTTGAACTCAATAAAATTTCGTTTATCCACGGATTTTAACAGTTCTTTAAACTTCAATTTATTGTATTCCGCTTCGATATTTGTGTGTAACCTGTGTCTTTTCGTATATTTTGAATACAAAATGCACGTGCCGTGCGCGTGTCTATACGCATAGAGTGCAAATTTGTACGTGTGTGTAACCACACATGCTGGTTTAGAATATTTGTGTGTGCATAATGTGTTAGCAAAGAATCAGGTGACAAGATAGTTAAGAATTTTTTATTTACAAGGACGCGCATGATAGAACGTGCAAAAATTCACTAGTAATACCGCCTTACTTTCGATTTCATTATGCAGTTAACGTGTTTAGCAGACGCTACGAATTTGAACGAGTAACACATGAAATATATATACAGTCAATCATTCCGTGAAATCCAACTGTTAGATTTTCCCTTCTATAAAAAATGAACAAAATTTTATTATTACAAACAAATTTCAATTAACATAATTAATTAATCTTTTCTTTACATACAATTTTTCGATTTTCTTCTAAATTTCTTTCTGATAACAAAAATATGTGAATGGGTTAAGAAATTAATACACGATGCGAAGTGATCTTTAAATTATTTTGATTGACACACGTATGTTAAAAACACGGACGAGGGTGGACGTGCTGTATTATCAAAATTATTTCTTAAACTCGTGTAAAAGCGAAATTAACCCACTTTGCCGGTGCCTACACACAGACTCTGATTATACTGTTATTACTCTTCCACAGTTTAGATATTTAAGAATTGTTACCTCCGTTCCTCTCTAAAGGTACCATAAGACATTTATCGCAACTAATATTGCAAATTATGTGCTTTAAATCTTTATAATGAAAAGGTATCATTGAGGCTGTAGTTGCGTTACGCGTTTAATTAAATGATCGTCGGTACTGATAAGTGTTTGTCATACGTACAAAATTGCATGACAGTCATAATTTCTTTTCAATATTCAAGTAAAATAAATTGTTGATATTGCATAGGCAGTGAATTTATTTACTCAAAGTTATAAACTACAGATCGTTGTTTTGTAAATTTCATGCTGTAATCACTATGGTAATCAATATTATTACTATTAACTTCCTGATAGTAGCGTAATAGCATTACGTACTGAGATTATTACTAAGAATAGAGCACTGAGAATTTAGTACATTTTAATAGATTACGTATGATAAAATAAATTTTATAGCTCATATGTGTATACATATGTGTGTGTATATATCATAACATTATACGATTTGTAATTTATTACTATTGTAAGGCGTCTTTAAGAATCTTGAATTTAGTGCGGTGTACTGATAAAAATATGCGAAACTTGGCTTAAAAGATCTTATCCAACGAGGAAAGTTTGGTACTTGCGATCGTTACTTCAAATACGTTATCGCTACGCTTCGTGTTCGTTTCAGATTGTGTTTTTCACTCCAATTATATCTTGAATACTACGCACCCAAAACTGATACCAAGTAACAACTGAAATTACAATTACTTAAATATGTAAATACTCGTACTAATCAAACTTCGTACATTAAATATATAATTTTTTCATATACTTGTCAATAACTTAATGTAACATAAGATAAATAGCAGAAGACCATTATGCTTAATTTAAATAGTATACATATTTTTTAAATGCAAATATCGTATAAAAAGTACTTGTTATATTAATAAATGTTTTTTTGCTTTTCATAGCACAAATTTTATCGAATGAGGCTTCAGATACAAAGAAATCAAAAACGAAAACAGAAAGAACGTACAACAACAACAACGACAATAGCAGCAACGAAAAACCTCAATTTCAACGAAAGAGTAGCACAATGACTGCGGTGGGAAGGATCATGCAAAAAGCAGATGGATCGAACGATAGATGATGTGAAAATATATCAAATAATGCGTAAAACGTTATGGCCGTTTCTGCACGCAAAATTCAAAAGATCGTCCGTATTTTATAAGGAGACACATGATACTGTATAAATCGTATATAAGAATATAATAGAAACGCATCGCTGCCTTATAACAGAAAACGAGACCTCGCAATGTCGAAGAACGGGCAATTATCACGAGACGACACCGACTCGTGAAAAAACACGTTACAGTTTAGACAATTCAACGAATATTTCAAGATAATAACAATAATAATTATGGATGAAATAAAGGTGGCGAACTTGGGCCAAGCGGCATCAGCCGCGTGTTCGATGGCTACGAATTTCTTGGCGCCAGTGAAAACCGAACGGCAAATCTACGAGAATTCAATGCTCGAGGACGATCCCAATGCCAACTCAGTGGTGTCGACTTCGCAAGAGGACAGAACCGTACCGAGATGGGGTCCCAATCACAAGGGTGCTCAAGAACTCGCAAATCTTTACAGTACCGGTAATAATTTTTATTGCAAATTTCTTATATAGAAGCATTTTCAGTGATATTTTGCTTTTTGTTAATGTTCCTGACAATTTCGAAGTACATCCTATGTAAAATTGCACCTGACGAGATCAATTAATAAGCTCATTATATTTAACACGAAATCTTGGAAAAGTGTACATACGCAATCTGTGCACCTATCGCATGTATGTTTTCTGATTTTAATACTTGCCAAGATACTGGCTATACATCGGTTGCACCTTGGAATTCTCGCCTGTGAACAAAAATAAAGAGCGGTCTAACAATACGTATCTTTGTATCTATACAGTACAATACTTATAAAGTCATTATTACAGTATTCTCGGATATGCATTTGCGAGGATTTTTGCATTTTATGGTTGAAATTGTATACTTCCGGTATTTCAGTGATGAATACTGTTTCATAACAACGTTTTTGTTGCAGGTTCTTGTCAGATTACGATTAGAAAATTTAAGTTCGATAGCAATAGCAGCATTTTGCGGCATCGTTACCGCAGATTTTGGATCTGGATTAGTTCATTGGGCCGCTGATACATGGGGTTCTGTAGAACTCCCAATTCTTGGAAAGGTAAATTGTAGAGAATCATTACACAGGTATTATATTATATATATTCAGAGATATGATTTAATATTATTTCATGAACTATATTAAACGTGTAAATAAAAAGAAGGATATGAAATATACTTCAAACTTTCTTCATGTTATAACAGGAAACAGATATACATGTATGTATTGTTTAATAAGTCTTTAAATATAAGAAATATGATTTTGCAGAATTTTTTAAGACCATTTCGAGAGCATCACATTGACCCAACAAGCATAACAAGGCATGATTTTATAGAAACTAATGGTGATAATTTCATGGTTACAATTCCATTTCTTTCTAAATTAACATGGGATTTTTTAATCCTCCCAGAATCAGAAATACAGCAAAAATTTGTTTGGACTTGTTATTGGTTTTTACTTGCAATTTTTGTGGCAATGACTAATCAGGTAATTAAATAAACATCTGTTAACTTATTATTTCATTTTTATATATATTTTATATCTAGTAAATACATTTTCATTATGGATAGAGTATACACTTTTTTATATTTTGTATAATAATTGTACTACATGTAGCATTAACAGAGTGACATATTAGCAACAACCTTTTTCAGATACATAAATGGTCACACACATACTTTGGATTACCTTCCTGGGTTGTGTGGTTACAAGAACACAGAGTTATATTGCCTAGAAAACATCATCGTGTACATCATGTAGCACCACATGAAACTTATTTCTGCATTACTACTGGATGGTTAAATTGGCCATTAGAACAACTTCGATTTTGGTATATTCTAGAAATTATAATTGAAAAAGGTACTGGCTGTAAACCCAGGGCTGATGATTTGAAATGGGCACAAAAACGATCTTGAGAATTAATGTATTTTATCGTTTTATGCATTTCCATGGATAAAAAACAAATTTAACAAAAAATGAAATTTTCCATGAGTTTGTAACTTCATGGAAAACATAGAAAACATTTTCAAATAGAACATGCTGAAAGGAAAGTTAAATCCATACTGTAATTTTTTTCTTATACTTAGCACTACGAGGCCTTTCCTACAAAATAGATAGCGTGATTAAAGACATTTAATATTACTTAAATATGCTTTTGAAGTTTACACATTTATAATACATACAGGGTGTTACGTTTATACGAGAATGGTGGAATATATCACGAAGGATTGAAGTTATCAAAAAAATGTTCGTATAAAAGTTATTTGACATAAAGGGGCACATTATATGGTATAAATAATTTTTCTGTAGGTATAGTAGTGGGGGAGATATCAAAGTTAAGTTAATATTTTAAATGAAACCCTGTATTTTTTTATTCGTAATATGGTAGCGTTTCTTGAGACGAATTCAACAAAGTGAGTATTAAGTCATTTCGTTTTATGAAAAGTTGTAAAATCGTAGAGAATTTGTCTTGATAGCACAATCAAGCACCGTGTAGATTTCAGGAGTTTGCCCCTGGGAGGAATGTAATATTGCGTGACGGGAGAGTCAGGCGGTACGATCGAAGTACCCTTCTTGCCCCTGTGCCGTCCCGGGGGCAATCTACTGAGCTCTTAGCTGGCTGAAAGCATACAATAAATATTGGCCTGACTCCCCAATTCTTCACTACTTCACGATTTTTCATAAAACCAAATGACTTCGTGTGGCACATCGCTGAATTCATCTTAACAAACGCTACCATATTATGAATAAAAAAATACAGGGTTCCATTTAAACAAATTAACTTGACTTTGATATCTCCCCCACTACTGTACCTACAGAAAAATTATTTATACCACATAATGTGCCCCATTATACCAAACAACTTTTGTAAGAATATTTTTTTAATAGCTTTAATCCCTCGTGAGATATTCCACCGTTCTCATTTAAACGTAACACCCTGTATATGCAATAAGATAGATATGTACATATATTATATAAAAAAAATGTGAGTACGAAATCATGTTTAGATAATTGTGAGTTAATAATTGGTCTGACAGATTAAGCAATTATACGTTTACGCACCGCACAATCATTACATAAGCAGCACAAATTTAAAGCAAAGAGTATTAATTTAACATTTTATATAATAATTTATAAGTATTATAAAGCTGAAATCAAAGTACTGCATTGTGGAAAAATTATCGCGTACGCTATATAAATTTTAAACACAATGTCCAACGGCTATGAAATTAAGATGAATGTTTAAAATAATATGCACTAATACATACATCCCAGATAGCACACAGATATCTTCCGAACGTCTTAAAAATGTCTAGTAAAAGTCTTAAAATATCCAAAAGACGTCTGAACGACGTCCAATGTTACAAATCAAGATGTCTTTGAAACATGGCGCTGCGAAGCACTATGCGCTGGCTTTAGGAACATCTTAAAAATGTTTTATAGACCTAATTTTGATACGTTGTTAGAACGTGCCAATTCGCACGTCTTTAAGACGTCCAGATCAGATCGTAAGACGTCCAGACCAAAAATGGACGTAAAATGTACATCTCTAAGACGTTGTGTGCTATTTAGGATGTATATTAGTATACACATACGTATACTATATGCAAACCTATATATATTTGTACACATATTTATGAATTAATTTAAATTCGTTGCTTACTTTTGTCGCGTATAAATTAAAACAATGTAATTTAAAAAACGATATAATTTAAATTAATATGCTAATTTATAATAGCCTGATCTGCTGTTTAAGTACAATCATCGATTTCCCTGAACCTCTGAAAATATTTGAGCCACTGAAACTCAATGAAAAGCATTGATTTATAATAATGTTTTATCAAGAATAAATATTGTCAATTTCACTATTACCTATTTATATACGTGATTTTTGAAATTCAATATTTTTTTATCATTAGAAGAGAAAAAATCAGCTCATGTTCATTGATAAATCTATACATAGTATAGATATACAGAATATACATTTCTTAATATATTATTATCGTAAATCCTCATAGGCATTGAGTTTATAATCATTGAAATTGGCAATTTAGCTTCAATCTTAATTTAAAAAGTTGGATTATATTGTCACAATCTGAGCTAAGATTGATATAATGACATTGTAGAACAATGTTACATAAGTAGTATAAAAGAAACAAGAAAAATTACGTATTATATATATAAAAAAAATGTGATACATTACTTATAAATTGAACTGTACTTTTGTTCAATATAAAAACGGTTATAGTACACTTTTTTATTAATTACATTTCTTAACTCGTGACAAATAATCTAACAAAAAAATTGTAAGGTGCTAAATATAAGTACAAGTTTTAGGTTCAGGGACCAACAAAAGAGCCTATTACTCTATGCAGCAGTCTTCTAAATACTTGGTTTGATTTGGGTAAAGTATACTGATGTACAAAATAGTAATAGAAACATATTTGAATCTTTACAAATATTATTAAAACTGCGCTAATGACTTCGATTTTTATACTTTTTTTTTATTGGCTATTATTTGGCTATTATTTGGCTATTATTTGGCTATTATTTGAAATACCTTGTAACTTTCAGTATACTTTATGCAGAGCTTTACCATGATGTATGTTCCTTACAAGCAAATCATTAGTAATGTCTTTTAAAGGAAACAATAATTAGAAGACATTACAATTATTATAAGTACCGTAATTGTTATTGTTGTTATTGTTATAAAAAAAGAAGTATAAACTTTTAACAAATTTGTCATATAGCAATGCGTGCCAGAACTGAAGCTTTCTCTTTATATAGATCTATTTAACAGTTAACTAATAATTACACAAAGCAAAATAAAACACAAAACTATATTTTTTTGCCAATTTAGTTTTGTATACAATATATTGATGTCACTACTAGTGCAAAATTTAATTACTTTTTGCAATCTATAGTTTTTTAAAAACAGATTTAAAGCAAGTTTAAAATGTGAGAATAGAACTGTACATTGTGTCATCCTTATATGAATGTTGATAGAGACAAGAAATTGGTAACTTCTTAATTTGTCAGAATGCTTTAAATATTTAGTTATATGTTCAACATGAATATTGATTTAAAATCACGACTTTCACTATTCATCACAACGAAAAAAAAAAGACTATTGAAACATAAAACATTATATGTAATGCCAGCATAGATGTATGATAATTACGCAACTATTTTATTAATTTAATAATCGATATTGCAACACAAAATATCTTGATTAAAATAAAGTGTCTCGTTTTCACATTCCATAAGTCTAATTATGTGAAAGTATTTATTGCAGTAATATTTAATGAATTGAATGTATAGATATTTATTTACATGATATTTAATAACACACTGAAAGATTAATATTAATTTATGAACTAGTTTATTTAAATAATTTCTTTCTACGGATGTATACAATCTTAATGACAGTCAATATAACATCAGCCTTATAATGTAAAAAGGAAGACAATTTTATTGAAAGATAATCTTAAGCTTTAATATTTTGAGGCTATACTCTCTTGAAACGATAGTCTCTATGTTAGGAATTACATATATAATAATAAGAAATTTATGCAAAATAAAGAGAATTGAACGCTATAATAAATTTAAATACATGTTAAGAATTAGTATTAATAATTTTGAGTTTTCAGCAGCACATTTAGATGTATGTAAATATGTATATGTTTTTAAGCTTAACTTTATAAAAAAGAAGTATAAATGCATAGTTCAAATAAAAAAAAAACATAAAGGCTGTAAATATATTGAATTTGATACATAAAGAACATTTATATCTAGCTCTAATTGCAAAATTGCATACCTATTTTCATATGATTATAAATTGTATCATTACTAAGCACAATTTTTCATAAAATTTTATAATATTTTTAATAAATACTTTTAAATGATGAAATAACAATGTAATTTCAGTAAATATAAAATACATGCTGTTTTGCTTGATTTGGTGTAGCAAAAACTGCATTTAAAATTTATGCATTAAATATACATCACACAGTAAATGAAAATTGTTCCATTCATTTTAGAATTAAATTGCAAAAATATAAAAAAATTGAAATATTATGAAATTTTTAAAATAAAATACAAATGTATATGAAACGTAATCAAAACAGTAGATTTCATTCAAAATTAAAAAATATTTGCATTGAAATAGTGTATGGTAACATTCTTTTCTTTTCTTTTGCAAATTTTAAACAATTCTTTTTCTTAGTATAGGTATACACGTATAAACAGTTATTAATTAAAAAGTGACTGAGGTTGAAATTGCTTTTGCTATAATGTCTGTATGTGTTTAACATAATCAAAAATTCTTTTCCTAACAAAATAGTAAGAACATGTGTAAAAATAGTGTATGAAATTCATAATTGACTTTGAAAAACAAGACTTATGTACTTAAAAATAGTTAGAATT